GTGGGAGGGATGGGGTGGCTGGGTGATAGACATTGGGGAGGGTATGTGCTATGGTGAGCATTGTGAATTGTGTAAGACTGTTGAATCACAGACCTGTTCCTCTGAAACAAATAATACATTATATGTTTAAAAAAAAAGAAGATAGTAGGAAGGGAAAAATGAAGTGGGGGGAATCGGAGGGGAGACGAACCATGAGAGACTATGAACTCTGAGAAACAAACTGAGGGTTCTAGAGGGGAGGGGGTTGGGGGGATGGGTTAACCTGGTGATGGGTATTAAAGAGGGCACATACTGCATGGAGCACTGGGTGTTATACGCAAACAATGAATCATGGAACACTACATCAAAAACTAATGATGTAATGTATGGTGATTAATATAACATAATAAAAAAAAAAATGGACCTCGTCCTAGCTTTTCTACAACTTTATGTATGACTTCATATTTACGTCTTATTTACCCATTCTTGTTATGTATTAATTTCAGGTGTTTATGGTACAGAATATAAGGAATATATCATTGATAAATAAAATTGAGAAAAATATATGATAGCTGTTTTGGTGAATAATACCATTAATGGTGTTAAAACTTTTAGGTTTTTTATCAAAACATTTTCCATTACTTGGTTTTATTGAGCGTTTAATTTTATTTTAGGTTTATGAAGAAGCTGGTTCTGATTTTCATCAAGTTGCCTATTTTAAAACCAGAATCGGATTAAGAAATGCCCTCCGAGAAGAAATCAGTGGTTCTTCAGACAGGGAAGCTGTGCTTATTACCTTGAATAGACCCATTGTTTATGCACAGCCTGTGGCCTTTGATAGAGGTAAGATAAAGTCCATTAACACTATCTTGTTGGATTTAGAAATATTTTAGCAATGTTGGATAAAAATCATCTGTAGTTTACTAGTGTAAATGCTTGACAGCTAAATGTCTCCTAAATCTGAAATATGAGCATCCAAAAAAAGTGTTTTGCTTATTCCTTTCAGTTTTTAAAGTTACTTCTTTTTAAAGTCATTTGCTTTCTACATGGATATATAGGATATCTTTTTCAGAATTTTAATTGTAATACTAAGTTTTTTGGTTTCAGAAACTAATGCACCCATTTGTTTTGGCACTGTCTTTATTCATTTATTCTGTAAACATTTACTGTCTGGAAGTGGAATACAAATATAGAAAACAGGATTCCCTGCCCTCAAGGACCTCTCAGTCCAGTGGGAGAAAGCAAAGTATACTGAAGAGAGGAGTTAGAGATACCTGTTCTCATATCTGAGGGAGCCTTCTAACTTTGCCTGTGCTTCTTAGAGGAGAAACTAATTCTTCAGATTTGACTTGGAGTTAGGAGTTCACCAGGGAGACAAGGAAATGAAGCTAGTCTTATTTACCTTTGTATCTGAAGGTCTAGAATAGTGCCTAGCTTATAGTAAGAACTAAATAAATATTTACCAAATGAGAGGGAATATGAATGAATATATATTAACACAGAGGTCTAAAACATGTAGCAGCTTTCATAAATAATAGGAAGTAAGACTGAACAGATAGATAGGGTCTAATTAATGTATATTGGGCATATATGTTGGAATTGTAGAAGTAATGAAGAACCATTTTTGAAGCCATTTAAGATTTAAATTAGTGGTAGGCATTGGCTGGTAATAAGTCTATTAGAAAACTATTCTTTTGGCAGTGTTATGGATAATGTTTTATTTTGCTAAATTCTGTGTACTTTTTTCATTTCACATCTAACTAACCTTTCATCAGCTTTCAACAACTCCTTAAAATACTTTTTACTCTTTGTGTCCATGACACTTTTCCTTCTGCTTCCCTAGCCCCTTCATTTTATCTCCTCTTTAGGCTCCTCCTTCTGTACACTGCATTAAATGAGGGTTTTCCATAAGGTTCCATTCTTGTTACAGACTCAGATGTCTTGGCCTCTCTTTGTAGGTCTTATCTTTTTGATATATACTCCTACTGTTATGTATGTCTCCTTCAAGAATTTTTAACAGTAGTAACAGTAAGCTCTACAAGGTCAGGGACCATGTTCTGTTTTCATTTCATTTTTATTGCATCCTAGTGCATAGCATCTAATAGGCATTTCACAAATAATTTGTTAAATGAACAAATGGACCTGGAATACTTTCTTCTTTCTGCCATTATGCAGTTGCCTGCTTTCATTTGTCAAATTGACTGTATCCTCTTAGATCCTTTCTAATTCTAATGCTATAATTTTCTCATGGGAGTAATTTTTATTAATCAGCTAGATTTTGAAGCTACTGAGTTTTACTTGCCTTCTAGCTTTACAGCTTTGATTTTAATTTTCTTTCCACCCCGCCTTAATTATAAAAAGCTGTGCTATTTTGGCTGAATTATAAGGCTGCCTATGACAACTGGAATGAACAACGAATGGCTTTACATAAAGATATTCATATGGCTACAAAGGAAGTGGTAGATATGCTACCGGGTATCCAGCAAACATCAGCCCAGGCCTTTGGGACTCTCTTCCTCCAGCTCACTGTGAATGATCTGGGAATATGTCTGCCCATCACAAATACTGCACAGGTACAAAAAATCAAATCATAGTCCAAGATTAAGAGCACAACATTCTACTAACCATTTCTTTGTATATGGAGTATAATAATTTTTTCATATTAACAGTTTATAACTTGAGTTTAGTAAATAGCAAGTAAGATTGGGTTCCTTCAGCCATTATTCATCCACAGTGTATTAAATATGAATCTCATGAGACTTTGCTCTGAAGCACTCTGCCACAGAATTGTGATGAGATTGATACCCATCTGATAAATCTTAATTTTTACCTTGAAAATAAGCAGCTTAGTTTTCAGAATTGTTTTTTTAAAGATTTTATTTATTTATTTGACAGAGAGATAGAGAACACAAGTAGGCAGAGTGGCAGGCAGAGGGAGAGGGAGAAGCAAGCTCTCTGCTGAGCAGGGAGCCGGATGTGGGGCTCGATCCCAGGACCCCAGAATCATGACCTGAGCCGAAGGCAGCCGCCCAACTGACTGAGCCACCCAAGTGCCCCCAGAATATTTTTATTGTTTTGTTTTTTAGCAAATAGGTCTTTGGCATACACTTGTTAATAAAGTAGAAGCAAAAGAACATTTAAGAATACTGTTTAATAATGTTCAGTAATCTCGGGGCACCTGGGTGGCTCAGATGGTTAAGCGTCTGCCTTCGGCTCAGGTCATGATCCCAGGGTCCTGGGATCGAGTCCCACATCGGGCTCCTGGCTCAGCCGGGAGTCTGCTTCTCCCTCTCTCTCTGCCTCTCCCACTGCTCATGCTCTCTCTCTCTCTCTGTATCTCTGTGTCTCAAATGAATAAATAAAATCTTTAAAAAAAAAAATAAAATAATGTTCAGTAATCTCATCTAAAATAGGTTAGGGGATTTCAAAATGCCTTTAAGCTGCAATATTTAATGGTAATGAAACTTCCAAGTTATGTATACCAGATGAAGCAAGAATTTTCATAATTTATGGACACGCACATGAGACAAAAAAGGGCAAAAACCCCTATCAGGCCTAAGAGGTTACAATTATATCAAGTACAGAGGTCTGTTTCACTGTTAAAATTTACCTTAACCTGTAACCAGTTGTTGAATGAATTTAACTTCTAGTATTTGTTTAGCAAGACATTGTGAAGAAAAACTCTGGGTCAATGATTGGCAACATGTAGTAATTTATGCCTCAGGATTTGAAAAATGGTGATTTTTTAATGGCATTATGGACAGAGCACAGGAAAGCCATATACACCAGAGGCGGCTAAAACAGAAGCTTGAGATAGAAAACTAGATGATTAGGGGCACCTCGGTGGCTCAGTTAAGTATCGGACTGTTGATTTCAGCTCAGGTCATGATCAGGGTAGTGAGATCAAACCCCACATGGAGACTCATGTGGAACCCTGCTGGGGCTCAATGCCAAATGGAGCCTGCTTAAGATTCTCTCCCTCTCCCCCTCACCTGCTCGTACTCTCTCTGTCTCTCTAAAAACAAAACAAAACAAAACAAAACAAAAAGCCCCCCAAAACGAGAAATTAACCTTTTGTGAGTTTTTTAAGATTTATTTATTTATTTGAGAGAGAGCACATGCATGTGAGTGGGGGAGAGTCAGAGGGAGAGGAAGAGAATCTCAAGCAGACTCCCCACTGAGCTCAGAGCCCCACCTGGGGCTCAGTCCCACGACCCTGAGATCATGACCTGCACTGGAATCAAGAGTCAGACACTTAACCGACTCAGCCATGCAGGCACCCCTACCTTTTGCGAGTTTAAAATAAAAAAAAGGATGAAGACAATTATATGGTATCACTCATATGTCGAACATAAGGAATAGTGCGGAGGACCACAGGGCAAGGGAGGGAAAACTGAATGGGAAGAAATCAGAGAGGGAGACAAACCATGAGAGACTCTGGACTCCGGGAAACAAACTGAGGGTTATAGAAGGGAGGAGGGTGGAGGGATGGGGTAACCAGATGATGGGTATTAAGGAGGGCACGTGTTGTGATGAGCACTGGGTGTCATACGCAACTAATGAGTCATTATCAAAAACTAATGATGTACTATATGTTGGCTAATTGAACAATAATAAAAAAAAGATGCACGTGGCAAATGTATTCACTTCAACAATTTAATTTTTTTAAAAGTAGACATCTTTCTAAGCTGCTTTTTAATGAAGATTTCTAGTCTTGACTTTTTCTAAACTTTTGTTCCTATGAATCCTGTGAGAATTTCCAAATTTAAAACGTTCTATCTTTTGTCTTTTTTTTAAATATATTTTGCAGTCTAATCACACTGGAGACCTTGACATTGGTTCTGCTTTAGTACTGACCATTGAAAGTACTCTCATCACTGCTTGTTCTTCAGAATCTCTGGTTAGTAAAGGGCATTTCAAAAACTTTTGTATTCGTTTTGCTGATGGCTTTGAGACGTCGTGGGATGACTGGAAACCAGAAATTCGTGGCGATCTAGTGATGAATGCCTGTGAGTGTCTTTTATTTTCTGCATGAGGTTTAGAATTTTTTTAATTAAAAAAAACAAGAACGGTGTCTTCATTTGTAATACCATAGGATGCTTAGCTATAGGAATGTTATTGGACTTTCTGAAATAAGGGCTATTTTTAGTTGAAGGTAGGTCATATTTGTGAAACACTACAGCTTTCCGTAGTTTTGGTAAATCAACTAGGCATTCTTCTTGATAGTCTAACATTTGAAGATTCGTTTACTACCTGATTTTTTCCTATAATTGATTAAAGAATGACCAGATAAAGCATCTTTGCTCTGTGGGGATCTTCAAAGGAAGTGATAAATGTGCAGGATCCAGTTCATCATATAACATAGAACAACAGGTTGTAGATAACCAGGAACAGGAACTCCAGCCATAAAATAATATTGATATGAATAAATTCGTGTGTCTAAATTTGTAAGCTACAGTGTGTGACTTGTGTGAATTCCTCTGATTCCATAATACTTAAGGTTGGGTGTAACTAAAGCTGTGTTTATATACAGTTTCGAAGATATATGGGCTTATTTTTATTTTAATATATTTGAAGGTATATGGGTTTATTTTTATTTAATATATTATAAT